TCGCAAAGCTCTTTCCCATGCTCCCCCCAGACACCACCAACACACTTATCAACCTCCTGGCTCCAGTCTGTACCCACAGCATTCCACTCCTCCCCTGTCACAGTCCAGCACTTCAGACTCACAGTACCCACTGCACTCAACACCCATCCCTCTGCAGTTTGGCCCTGATGAAGTACAGTACCCGCTGCATTGTACTCCGAAGAAGAAGGCTGGATATGATCCCTGGACATACACAAATCTTTAGCTGTCCCAGGACCCCTCCTCCTCCTGGGACCTTCCCTTCCCCCCAACCACCTCAGTGCTGATGTGTGTTTTTTTTAACTCTCTCCTCCGGTTGTTGTTTTTTAAATAAAAGAACTGTGTTAGTTTGAAAGCAATCTTTATTCTATTAATTGAAAGCAAACAGAGTCCTGCAAAGCAACAGACAGTTATATTAAACCTTCATATTGCATCGTCTGCCCCAATCACAATCACCTCTTAGCATTACAAGCACTGAACTCCCGAGCATAGCAACAAATATTAGTGACCTTCAACTTCAAATTGCTGCCTCAAGGCATCCCTGATCCTTATGCCCCGCGCTGCACCCCTCTAATAGCCCTGGTCTCTGGCTGTTCAAACTCAGCCTCCAGGCACTGAGTCTCAGCTGTCCAGCCCTGAGTGAAGCTTTCACCCTTCTCTTCACAAATATTACAGCGTACAGCACATGGCTATAAGCATTGGAATATTGTCATCGGCCAGGTCCAGCTTCCCATAGAGGCAGCACCAGTGGGCCTTTAAACGGCCAAAAGCACACTCAACAGTCATTCTGCACTTGCTTAGCCTGTTGTTGAACTGCTCCTTGCTGCTGTCAAGTTGCCCCGTGTATGGCTTCATAAGCCACGGCATTAAGGGGTAGGCGGGGTCTCCCAGGATCACAATGGGCATTTTGACTTCCCCTACGATCTTCTGGTCTGGGAAGAAAGTCCCTGTTTGCAGCTTCCTGAACAGGCCAATGTTCCGAAAGATGCGTGCGTCATGCACCTTTCCGGATCAGCCTGCGTTAATGTCTGTGAAACGCCCACGATGATCCACAAGCACCTGAAGAACCATTGGAACCTTTCCAATTAATGTACTCGGTAGCTAGGTGGTCTGGTGCCAGAATTGGAATATGCATGCCATCTATCGCCCCTCTGTAGTTAGGGAAGCCCATTTGTGCAAAGCCATCCACAATGTCATGCACATTGCCCAGAGTCACGGTCTTTCAGAGCAGGATGCGATTAATGGCCCTGCACACTTCCATCAACAGGAATCCAACGGTAGACTTTCCCACTCTGAACTGGTTAGTAACCAATTGATAGCAGTCTGGAGTAGCCAGCTTCCAGACTGCAATAGCCACGGGCTTCTCCACCGGCAGGGCAGCTCTCATTCTTGTGTCCTTGCGCCGCTGGGCTGGGGTGAGCTCATCATACAGTCCCATGAATGTGGCTTTCCTCATCCGAAAGTTTTGCAGCCACTGCTTGTCATCCCAGACTTGCAGGACTATGTGATCCCACCACTCTGCTTGTTTCCCTAGCCCAAAAGCGGCGTTCCACTGTGGTCAGCACCTCCGTGAATGTCAATCAATCAAACAATCTCATGTTGTAGCTAGTACGCGTGGCGAGATCAATGTCGCACTCTTCTTGCCTTTGTAGTTTAAGGAATAACTCCACTGCCACTTGTGACGTGTTGGTCAGAGCGAGCAGCATACTAGTCAACAGTTCAGGATCCAGTCCTGCAGACCGAAGAGGCAGAGCACGCAGTATACGAACTGTTGAAAGATGGCACCAAATGCAGACAGAAGCACAGGGATTGCTGGGATGCGAAGCAATGCATCACAGGGCATTGGGACAGGACCCAGGATGCCCCGCACCTCCTCTGTCTTCCCACAACTCTTGGCAGCAGAAGAGGAAGAGATGCTCTGTGGGATAGGTTTCAGAGTAGCAGCCGTGTTAGTCTGTATCCGCAAAAAGAACAGGAGTACTTGTGGCACCTTAGAGACTAACAAATTTATTAGAGCATAAGCTTTCGTGGGCTACAACCCACTTCTTCGGATGCATATAGAGTGATATATGGGATAGCTGTGGGATAGCTGCCCAGAGTGCACCACTCCGAATACCGCTGCAAGTGTGAACACGCTATTGCGCAGGAACCTGATAGTGTGAACACACAACAGTGGTTTCCCTTCAGCACTCTCTGAGCAGCGCTGTAACTCTGCCAGTGTAGACATACCCTTAGATTTCAGCTTACTTTTGACAACACCCCAGACATATCCCAACCTGGTGTTAGAACAATTAGTATCACAGAAAGTCCAAGTCTCCTACTTGCCATGGACAACATTCCACACAGGTTATCATGGAACACTGCTGAGACACTTGGAAGGTCTAATAAGTGTCAGCTGCAGCATAAATCAGTCCTCAAAATGGTTGTTATGGACAACTGCATATTTACATGCAGGGCTCTCCTTTAAATGTGCTCCACAAGGCTCTTTCCATCCTGCTATTCAATGTCCACTAAAGCCACCAGAAGAGATCATGGACTCAAACTCAGTAACATGCCAACACTACTCAGCTCCACATCTTCTTTATGTCAAATGCAGACAGTACCATTTGCCAGCAGTCTCAGTACCCATGTGAGAACAATGCCTGGATTAAAAGAAGATGAAGGAAGGTAAGACTAGGTAACAAAACCAAGTTAGTGGAAGAGAAAAATACGAGAAATTAATCAACACCATTACGTCTCCATCTATCGAAGGAATCAGTCCTCCAATTGTCAAGATGGTATGCAAATTAGGGGTCCTCTGAACACCTCACTGTACCTGGATACCATTTCTAGCAGTGGTTTCCCCTCACACACACTCTCCTACAGTTAGCTATCCTCCTTATGGATGAATCACCCAGCCATTCCCCATGAATTCATCACCTACAGACTGGATCACTAGAACAGGAAGTTAAAGCAAGGTCCCTTAAAAAAAAAAAAAAAAAAAGTCCAGCATGTTGAGAATGAGCAGTCTGCAGCACTCTGCGTTGCTTTGAAGGCAAACATATCATCTTGGTGCTCCATGAAACTACACTTGTTACATTTGATAATAGAACATCTTTTTGACATAATTTCCCCATAATAAAAATACCCATATTAGACAGAAAATGTAAGAAAATCAGCAGAGAGGGTATGTTCTGTCTAATACATATTCTCAGAAATGTGGAGAGAACCAATGATCTAGTAGTTAATTTAGTTGCAAAAAACATTCAGATATCATGGGGATTGTCCATTACACATTTAGTCCTCCACAATTATGCAAGACTTAATTATTACTTTTCAACTATAGGAAGGCTGCATGCTGTTGCCTTGGAGTTACTGGATACACATGGCCAAGGTTTTCAGGAAGAAGCTAGTGATTTTGGGTGCCCAAATTGAGACACCTACAAGGGGCCTGATTTTCAGGAAGTGCAGAACACAACCTCCGGGAAGAAAAAAAAAAATAGCCAAGCCAAGCTCTTTCAAAGTCTCAGTTTGGGCACCCACAATCACTGGCCTCTTTTTTGATAATCTCAGCCATATATATGTGCCAAACAACAAGCTGAAGTCACTCAACCAAAGGGGTTAAAGTCTGAAAACCTGCAAAGCCCTAGCAAACCTAAGCTAAAGTGACTGGAAAAAACTCCTCTATAAATGTCTACATTTATAGAATATAGACATCACACAAAGAGACCTTTATATCTGATGCCTGTATCGCATACTTGACTCCTGCTCGATGAAATAAATCTATCCTTTCACTAGTCTTCTAGCTGGGGCTTCAAATCAGCCTTAGTGCCTACAAAAGAAGGAAGAAAGGAAGAAAGTAGTAAACCAAGAAGGAGAGATAAAAAGCAAAGAAATAACAGATTAAAAGTAAAACAGCAGCACAATTGAAGAAAATTCTGAAGGAGAACCGAGAAGAGACATGTACAAATCAGTCACCATTTTACACAACACAGGCCAGATCCTCTGCCTCATTCTGCCTATCTGAGCAGAAACAGTGGATTTGCTCTGCTGAGGATTTCCCATTGTTTGTGGGGGTTGCCAGGAGGCAAAGAGCCCTGAGATGGGGCATGGCCAAAGGAGGAGGAGTATGGCCTTTGCATTCCACCAATTCCTGACTGCTATAGTGGCTGCATGGGGACCATTACCAGTCTGCAAAATGATGAGCAGCCCTAAAGCTGCTCTAAATTGAGCCTCAATTGGACAAGTGCCCATAGGTCTTCGAACTGGGCAGGCTCAAGTAAGGGTGACTTAAAGCCCCACACTTCTGAACTGTACTGGACCACAGAAGAGACCTGGCCCTCATGTGATTTTTTTTTTTTTTTTAAACAAGATAGGACTTCCATTTTTTTATTTTCTACAAAAGCATAACCTTTTGTTTTCCCATCATTTTCTATTTTATGTGCATGTTAACAAACTGTTTGCTGGAATTTTATCCTTTTTTTATTTTAAAATTTTTAAACAATTATTTAAGGGAGTTGTTTATCATATCATCCAAATTCCTTTTAAAATACCATACTAAACTTACGGCTCTGTCCTGATATTCCTGGAAGTACTACATTCCCATGTTGAGACTTCTGGCAATGATGCTACAAAGCTGTGATTCACTATAGCTGTAAGCATGAATTTTTGGAATGTATCTATATTCAGTTCCATTTCTACTTAAAGTAAAACCCAAATCATCTGCCACAGCAAGTTTGGAAATTAATAATCTAATATGAACAACTTCAGTGTTTGTGTTGTGACTAAGTCAAAAAATGAAGATTAAGCATACACATGAAAATAAACACTGAGTGAAACTTAACTTTGACTGTTTATTTTAATCAGATGACCAGTTAGGATATTTGCAATCTGTATGAAATTAACCAGAACAGAAAATGGAAACTGAGCAACATCTTATTGGCTGTGACTTTTAAGCAGTACTCATGCTGTTTATTATACACAGAAACACACAAAACACTTACCTGATTAATAGCAAAAAAAATGCTGTCATAAACATCCTGCTGTGTGTATACACTACAACTATAATCATCTTCATCAACCCCGGAGTAGCCTTTCAGAAACAGATGCTTAAAGGCAATAGTGTTCTCCTCTTTGAAGGAAACCACCAACTGGTTACTCAAACCAAAAAGAATAAGCTAAAAAAAAATTAAAAATTCAAGTTAGAATACAATCCCATCATTAACATACTAATGATAGTAACACAGCAATTAACATCTTCAAGTTGTAATTAGCACAAATTGGAAAGTAAGAAGTTTCTGTATTGTGTCAATACCAGACTCCTAAAAAAAAAAAAGCAAGTTAACATTACAATTAGGGCTGTTGCGCGATTAAAAAATTAATCACGCGATTAATCGCACTGTTAAACAATAATAGAATACCATTTATTTAAATATTTTTGGGTGTTTTCTACATTTTCAAATACATTGATTTCAATTACAACACAGAATACAAAGTGTACAGTGCTCACTTTACATTTATTTTTGATTACAAGTATTTGCACTGTAAAAAAAAAAAAA